GAACATATTTTATAAGTTTCACCTTTGTTGATATTGGCGCTGATAGAGACCTGGTTATCTGATACGATGTTCTGATATCTCTTTTATCTGTAGCCTGCCTGTTCTGCTTCAGTTGACAGTGTGTCGTAGAACTTTCTTTCCCCTCTCTTATCGCTATTCTTCTTGCTAACAGCACAAAGCAGTTCCAGTGTACGTGACAAAGTACATTCATCTGGGGAACATTAAGAAGAATTTACCACCACGTTTCTCAACACATTCTAAGAAACTTGTGTGTGTAAAAGCTGAAAAACACCTTTCTTAATGCAACTGCTTGTCAAATGTTCAATAGCATTGATGAAGTCGAATCATTGAAATCCTTTAGGATTACTTAAGTTTAAGACAGTTCCACGTTGCCACGTATCCCTGAGACTTTTACCACTAGGCAGTTAAAGGTCACTTTGTGCATCTCCAAGGAAACCGTTGTCTACAGGATTTCATCATGAGCTGAAATAGGTTACAGAACCATTGGAAAACCTGGAAGTACTGAACAGCTGTTTCATCCTCGTTTGGGACTCTTCGGCATTATGCACCCACCTTCTGGTTACAAGGCGAGCTCGTATACCATTCAGCCACTTGGACCCGATTTAGTGGCCCATGAATTCTAACTTCTGCCAATTCTTGACATAGCGCGACTCCTAACCAATGTCTTCGGCCGAATCAACCAAATCCCTGCAAACCATCACTTAAAGAAATCGTTGTTTTTGACGCCTTTCTAAGGTGAATATTCTTTAAATTATTTAATTTTTTTTCTCTTGATTGTATGCTGATTACAAAATGCAATAAGCTACTCTTAATTTTATCTCTATATGTATTCTTGCCTCGGCTCTTTTTCTGACCTCCGTTCATCCAAATAATTTAATTATCAAAACTAATTTGTAGAGACTAGATTTGTTTTAAGGTTGATCGTGGATTGAAATCGGCTGGTGAACCCTTGAAAGTCAGAAAGGAGTACTGGACAGCTGCTTCGTCCTTGAAATAAGTCGAATTCCTACAAATTAGCTTTGAAAATTATTCCAATGATCCCTAGTGACCGGTTGGCCTGGAGTTCTTGCAAGAAGTCGTGACCAGTTGGGTCTATCAGACAGTCAAGCATGAAGACAAATTCTCACTGATAACACTGACCAGTGATTGCATGGAAAATTCACAAAATGATAGAAGTTAGAACTATAATGGGCCCTTGAATTAATTTACTGAGAAGCTGGCTGGCCTACCAGTTCGACTTGTGACGGTGGCGGAATACTAATGAAGAGTTGTCCAGTATTACTCTGTGGATGGTTGTCAATGGTCTTTTCACTGATATCTATCCATGGGTAGACTTGAAATAAACAACTTAACCCTTACGTTATTCACAGTATGAAACATTCTTTCGTAATCTGAACTAAAACAGGCTTAACAACAAATTTTATTGTTTTCCATCATGTTATTTGATCACAGAATGTGAGTATCCTTCGCGCTGTATGACGAATAAAAGTAAAGTATTTAAATGTTTTATATTATAACTGATATTAAACTATTTATGCTTGTGTCGAGTTGAGTAGAACCAACATAATACGAGGAGGTCATTTCGTCCAAATGAACTTATTCTTCTTGCTTTATTCAAACAAATTTTCCAGTTAGCATGTGAACCATCCAAATGAATGCCTACATTAAGAAACAGTTATTCACAGCCTAAAGTACCCAATTTTATCCAAAATTTTCAATTGTTGGTTTGCAAGGATTCGACTGATTTAAAAGGATTGATCAGAAAATGACTTCATTTAGCGAATTATCGAAAATCACCAATTGTCGAGTATTAAACATCCGTCTCGCCCCGGTATTTAAGCCTATTCAATAGCATACGCTCATGATCTCACAAGGAATTGAACTTAAGCAAGAATGCATTGAGTCAAATGGAAGGGAATCCAACAGCCGATTCATCAATTCTAACTTCTGCTAATTCTAGTAAGATAAAGTGCCACTGCGGACCAATGTCGCCGGTTAGTATTTGTACTCACACTCTAATTAATGGACTCCGCTGGTAACGAATTCCTCTAGAAGCAATTTCATTCTGTATTCAGTTACTAACGGGTATTAGATCGATTTTCAAGAGTTGGTTTGCAGGGATATGATTGATTTCTCAAACTGATCACGAACCATTGAAGAGCTCTTTCATCCCCATGTTTGAGACTCTTCAGCGATGCGTACTTATGACCCCGCCTCCAGGAATCGAACCCAGAACTTTCATATTACAAGACGAGCTGGTAGATAATTTAGTTACAAGAATTACTGGAAGCGTGAAATTTTGTGGCTTAAAGAGTTTGTCTGTAGAGATTGGATGTGTTTCAAGTGTGATCACACATTTATATCAGTTAGGGAACCGTTGGAAATCTCCAGGGAGTGCTAGAAATCTGTTTCGTCCTAGTTCAGCACTCTTCATCGTTGCTCAGCCACTGGAGTTCGAACCCAGGGCTTTACAGCTCCATGACAGGCTCGTAGATCACTTAGCCATTTAAATCTGACTCAATAGCGCATAAATTCAAAATACCAACTGGTGGGGTTCATCCGGTCATGACTGAAGATATTGGCTGGTGATCGTAATAAAATCAAGAGTTTTCAAGTATTGGTTTTTGTAGGGATTTTGTTTGATTGCATGGAGGATTTAATCATGAGCTGACATCAGTTAGAGAACGACTGGAAAACCTGGGAGTACTGGACTGCGTACTGCTGAGGAGTCCCAAACTAGGACGAAACGGCTGTCCAGTACTCCCAGGTTTTCCAGTGGTTCTCTAACTGATGTCAGCTCATGATTAAATCCTCCATGAAATCAGGAGTTGTCAAATTTCAGAATTCATGGACTGGCTCTAAACGAACTGGATTTAGTGAATGAATAATGCTTAATGTTACACAGTCTCGAAGACTTATAAACGAAAACCGACAAACTGGCTGAAGAATCAGAGAGGACAGAACTTCAGGTGAACGTAGGGAAGACAGAGGTGATGAAGACTACCAACTAACCAACCCACGAGCAACAGCTGAAATAACCAGCAAAAATCATTATCGACGGGAGAGATTTCACAGAGATGACCCACTTCACTTATCTAGAAAGCGTTGTTTCATTTAAAGCCGGCGGAAGAGAAAAAGATATAAAAGTAAGAATGGGAATGGCAAGATACTCCCTCATCAACTTGAAAAGAGTTTGGAAATATTCTGCACTGACTCAGCCATCCAGCATAAACAACAAATTTCTGATCTTAAACATAAATGTGAAGTCATTCAGACAATTCTTTCATATGGGTCAAAAACTTGCACTTCTTGTGCGTCACAGAAAGGATTTCCGACAGCTTGTTGCAGAATTTTATCGGCTGGCTCCATACTGAATTAATTAATTAAATTGTCAGCTGACAGGCCATTGGGAATCAACTAACAACCAGAAAAGTTTGACTAGGGACAAACCAAGCAATAGCCTTTCGGTTAACAAAATATGTAGGAGAGATTGGAGGTGGATTGAGCATACGCTACTGACGAGACCATCAAATGACATCGCGTTCATTGCAGATCATTGTTGGAGTGGAAACGCAGAGTGGGTCTTCACTTCAAGGGTGACATGGAGGAGGTCATCCGAGGAGGAGATTATGGGACATTATGTTAGTCCAGCTGATGAGAAGAACGGAACATTGAACAAAGCAAAGGCGTGTTGGTGAAGCCCTGTGTGTTTCCCTAATAACCTCTGGAACAATAATAATGTGACAATATCAGCTATTCATATGAGAGTACTTGAAAACTACTCGAGTTCTACGGCGTACACCAAATATTCATCCACCTTATTCAACAACTCTACGACAACGGCATATGTCAAGTGATCCACTACGGAAAGCTCAGCGAGGCGTTTGCAGTAAACATAGGAGTCGGACAAGGGTGCTTATTATCACCAATGATATTCCTTAGTGTGACGGAGTGGATTATGCGTCGTCATACAATGAGTGGGGAATGAGAAGACAAGGATATCCTGGACAGACAGACGTGAAGAACCTAGAAGACCTGGATTTCGCGCGTGGATGATTTATGTTTGATGTCACACAAAATCAAAGACTTACAAGCGAAAACCGACCGACAAACTGGTTGAAGAAGCAGCCGGCGAAGACAGGACTGCAGGTGGACATAGACAAGAGGGAGGTGATGAAAATAACCAACCAACAACAACATCCAGCGCCAATCATCATCAACGGGAGGGATTTGAAACAGGCTACTTCATTCACTTCATTATCTAGGAAGCATTGTCTCAACTACACGCAGTCGGAACGGATGAGGATGTCGAATCAAGCGAGAATCGGAAAGGGGAGAAACACATTCATTCATCAACCTGAAACCAATCTAATCTGGAAATCGTCGTCACTCAGCCAGCATCAACAACAAAATTCGGTCGGATTTTCAATACAAACAACGTCAAGTCAGTCAGTCAGCTGTTCTATACGGATCAGAAACTTTTCGGGTGGGCCACAAAGAATATTTCCAGCAGCCTGTTGCAGAACTTTATCAACAACTAACTGTCTTCGCTCTATACTGAAGATGAGATGGCCGGACCGGAAAGAATCACCAACAAGAAACTATGGGAAGGAACAAACAAAACAAGAACCAATCGGCAACCAACAAATATGCAGGAGAAAGTGGAGATGGATTGGACACTCACTCGCTGAGGAGTCCGCTGGGCTGGGTGACATCGCGCGCGTGTCAGGCCATCACCCGAGTGGAACCAGTGTGAAAGGGAAGCGGCGAATGGGACGTTGGAGTAAGGGTGACATGGAGGAGATTGTGTGAAGAGGAATTGAAACAGTATTGATGAAACAGAAGACAGAAGCAAGTGGAGACGTGCAGTTGAAGCCCTATGTTCCACTAGGGATCGAAGGGAACAATAATAGTAATAATTATAATATAAGAGTACTTTTAGACAGATAAATAAGAGAAGACGAAGGCAAAAATAATTTCCCTTAACAACTTTTAATCATCTCCCCTTTTTGTATTTCTTTTAAGAATGAAATTAACACAGACTGAAATCTTTACAGAAGAAAAAATAAATAGTTTCTTTTGTTGCCTTAAAATTACTATAATCATCATCACCATCATTATCACCATCCTGATTAATTTTGAGTATATGTAAATGATAAGTATTCGGTCGTAAGTATGTATATAACTGACCTGAATATATGATAAGTTTCATAAAAACGGATGGATAGTGAGGGGTAAAGACAAATAGTCGACCAAGTGAAGAGAATCTCATTTCATTTAAGTAATTTCTTCATAGAATGCAGAAAAAAAACTGGTTCATTAAATTAAAATATACAATGGTAACTGCCTTTGGTACTATCCCATTGCATCAGTCAGTAGAGCTTGTGTGTGTGTTTGTGCGTGTGTGTGTGTGGCGAGTGTGTCCGTTCATTTTCCATGTTAATTCATTTGATATTCTGTTTCAAAGTTATTTTGTGATGTAAGAACGCCAACGCCAACACCAATACCAGAGCCAACTGTAGTAAGTGATTGTTTTTGTCGTGTACGTTCAGAAGGTTGATTTTTTAGCTTAGAGCATAACACACGCCATCGTGTGCGTAGAACACGTTGAACCTGTTAAGAAATAAATGAAATTCATAGATTAAATTATATAAATATATGAGAATTAAATGGCTCGGCATTATGCTCTTATTTAACCCAAGCATAAGTCTAAGCCGCATCATCCTGGATAGAATATACAAGCGCTGGATGAAAACCTTTAACCGTAACAAGCTTGATTCAAGCGAAACAAGTCATGCATTGATCAAATCACCACACTACGGATCATCATTGAACAGAGTCTGAAATGGCAGTCACCTCTCTATCTCAACTTCATCGACTTTGAAAAGGCTTATGACCGCGTCGATCGAGAGGTGATTTGCAAACTACTTCGCTACTACGGGGTGCCACCGACAATCACACATCTCATTCAACTGTTGTACGACAATGCTGCATGCCAAGTAATCCACAACGGGAAATTCACGGAATCCATCGAAGTGAGGACGGGGGTAAGGCAAGGCTGTCTACTATCGTCAATGATTTTCTTGATTGCAATAGATTGGCTAATGCGACAAACGGTGGGACGGCCAGCGATGAAACAGGCATTAAATGGACTCACACAAAAAACTTGGAGGATCTGAACATTTCCGATGATATATGTCTGATTTCCCACAAACTGGAAAGGTGAACATAGAGAAGGTGGAGACAGAGATGATGAAGATTCCTGGTCAACAGCAACAAAAGACGACAATCAGCATAAATGGGAACAATCTGAAAAACAAACAACATCCCTTACATACCTACCTGGGAAGCATCGTTTCAACTACAGGCGAACGAAGCTGTTGAGGATATCAAAGTAAAGATCGGAAAGCAAGACAATCTTTCATTTCTCTCAAGTCTGTGTGGAAGTCAACAGCACTGCACAGCATCAGAAAAAGATAGGGATTTTCAACTCTATTTTGAAGTCAGTGCTCCTTACTATACGGATCAGAGACTTGGCGCGTCACGAAGAGCACCTCAAACAAACTACAGACATTCATCAACAGCTGTCTTCGCTCAATACTCAAGATCAGATGGGTGGCCAGAATAGATCAGCAACAGGGATCTCAGGCAATGAGAATACCAACCCACCAGGAACCGATTGCGCAACAAATAAGGGGGAAAATAAAGGTGGATTGGCTGTACCCATTAGGAAACCATCAAGCGACATCAATAGACAAGCCATTGCTCGAGTGGAACCTGAATGGTAAGCGGCAAGTTGGTCGTCAGTGCAAGGGTGGCTTGAAGGAGGTGATGAGAAAATGAGATGAAATCATGTGGTCAGACTTGGAGCCGGGTGAAACCTCTAGCAGAGTACCGTACGCTATGGAGACGCGCGGCTGAAGCCCCATAATCCTCTAGGAATTAAAGGAAATAATAATAATTTAATAATGAGAATAAAATGAGGAAACAGAATAAAAAACAAACAAGTCAAGAATGGAATTGTAATTGCACAAGAATATTCTTCTACAAACAAATATATGATGCATTCTTCACTATGTAACTTAGTTCTGTTATTTTCTCATCCCAATACTTGAAGAGATATTTAAGGAAACAAGGATAACTGTTTTGGGAGGAAATAGGAGATAAGACAATAAAAAATGGCTGTCTACGGACATCTAAAAGGATAATAGAGGAGATGGGGATGGGGAAATAGAAAATTAACCAGTGCAAAGTTGGGAAATAGGAGCAGAAACTCAGTTCACTGTAAAAAATCACCTAATTAAGAAGTGAGTGATATCCGATAACAAGGTCGCTGCTTGGGAAAAAGTTGGCACAGATGAAACCAATGAAAGATAGTGGAAGGAACGTAAATATCAAAAAAAGGAGAAATGATGGATCACTACAAAGGACTCATGTACCAACCACAAGCCGCAACTCATCCAAGAATACTACCACTGAAACCAGAAGTCCTGAATGCAAGAAAGCTGCTGAAGGCCAACTGAGATGTCGGCAGGAACGGATGGAATTCCAACTTCTGACAATTCACGACATAGCGCGACCATTTCGCAATGTCTTCTTTTTCGATGAGTGACTGCTGAACAGTGCCAAACTAGGGCTACGGAAACAGCTCTCTAGTACTCCAAGGTTTTCCAGTGGTTCTCTAACTGATGTCAGCTCAAGATTAAATCCTCCATACAATCAAGACGAAAATCTGGCAAGTAGCGAACTTACTAATTACATTGCAGCAGGAGATGAAGACAGTTTCGAAGTCCGGGCAAAGGATACTGAGTCACATCAAACTCTAGGCAACGAATTGGTAGATGAGCAGAAAAAGAAGGCTCGTTTGATGTAGATCTTAGGGTGATATCAAGAAGATCAGGTGGAGAGAAAAAAAAGTAAGAACGCTTACAGACAATCATAGAAAGAGAGACAGAGAGAAAGCGCAAGAAAATGCCACAGAATAGTGTGCACGGTGTTGACTTTCCACTGGAGCCTCGTGTCTCACTCGGAATTCAATTAAGAAATGATAAGAATGATAGAAAATATAATGATAATAACATAAACTCATAGTTTTCTGAAGAAGAAGAAGAGGAGAACAACGACTAATTTCTTCCTTGTTCAATGTTCAAGTGATTACGCATCAGGTTTTGTCCTAATTTTTCAATATTATGTCAGTTTATTTCTGTTTTAGTATTCTAAAGTTCTCTTTTTTTTCACTTGCATAGATTGAAATATAAGTTGTCATAATTTGTTACATTAAATTTTGAAATGAATTGAATTTCGTTTTTTGAAATGAACTAAAGACAATGAAAAATGACACGTCATGTATTGTTGGCCTGTGGTTATTTTAACAGTTTTGCTATAAGCAACACTTTTATCTTTTGAAGAGCTACTTTGTGGGGATTCGATTTACTTAAGGTTTGGTCATGGATTGATATCGGTTAGACAGGCACTTGAAAAACAGAGAGTGCTGGGCATCTGTCTTTATTTTTATTTAAGCTTGTAACTCTTTAGCAGTGCGCACTCACCAAAAAAAGTCATTCGAATCTACTACCTTCTATTTACAAGGTGGGCTCGTAGACCGTTTCAGCCGCTGGAACCAAACTTAGTGGTAAATAACACTGTTTGACTGTGTGAGATATCTAATAAACAAACTAATGCGGAATCTACCGATTCACGACCTAGCGCGACCACTTCGTAATGTCTTCGACCAGTAACTGTCCTCACCTTTGACCTGCTGCACCCTACTGGTCACGGCTTCCCAGTAGAAACCGAAGGCAACTGACTGAGTGAGGCCAGTCGCTAGTGGACATCAGATTAGTTTCCAAGTATTCGTTTGCAGGAATTTGCTTGTTACTCACAGAAGACATAGCTAAGTGGTCACACCGTGTCATGAATTGGCAGAAGTTGGAATTTACAGGCTGGCCAATGGATCAGGTCTCAGTGCCTTAATGGTCACTAGCTTTGCAACGAGAAGATCCTGGGTTCAAACCCCTGTGATGTGTAAGTGCTGACGAAGAGTCTCAAGCTGGAACAAAACGGCTGGTTTCCAATAATTCTCTAACTGGTGAAATTCTTCAACCAAATATCTGAGTTGCGGCAAAATTCTGACTAATAGCTTTCGGATCACTTATCAATCCATAGATGGTATTTCGAAAAGATGGTACTTTCGACGTTTTTTTATCGTATTCTGAACAGTGAATATGTTCAACTTTTACTCATGACATTATTTATCTGAGATAGCATTCATTCAGAGGACTGTTACTGAAGTAAAGATTGATGTAAAGAGTGGATGATATCAACAAGTCGTGATGGTCTCTGCGTCAGTTATAAAACTGATTCTCTCATAAATCACCTGATATAGTATGAGACAATAAGAATCCAGAGGTTATTAGTTCAATTTATCATAAGACCGGCATCTACATTTTACCCCTTTCTTCTTATCTTTATGACAACCTAAAACATTATTATTAATTGGATTTCTGCTCAGATTTAACAAACAAGTATTCACAAACATTTAATGATACTCCTATTTTTCGTAGACATATATGCAGAATTTATTTATTGATAACAAACATTTATCGTAATTTTTAAAAGAATAAGCGACCTAATTTAGAATTTTTAAATAATCAGAGTGCTTTATATGAAAAATTATATATATGGCCTACTAACCTTATTTAACAGAACGCGTTTAAAGAAAGGCAAGTGAAGTGAAAAAATAAATTCCTCTTTTGTCGACTACTAAACTTTTAGCTAATTATAAAACTTAACCAGCTTAAGGCAACGTTATTTTGATCGGACAGTAGTAACTAGTGTGATGTGCCTAATCCTTTCTTCGTTGCAGAGTGAAATCTTTCAATCAGGTTTGTAATTTGGCCACCATGCCACTAGATAGCTCGCCAACATGGTGCACATTGATGTGATGATATTAGCTGGTTGGAGACAATCGACCTCAGGAAACCTTGCCAGTTGGCACTCACTAGTCAGTCAGTAAGGCGTATCTGCAACTGCCCTGAAGGAACTTATGTGTCCCTTCTGAGATTCGAACCCGTGTCACCCAGTGCCGCCTTCAGTCAGAGACGTTACCACTGAGCTATTCAAGCTCGCAATTGACCTCTTGTAGGACTGTGGTGGGTATTTTGACTGGACACTAGTAACTAGTGTGATGTTTCTAGTCCTTTCTTTGGTGCAGACTGAATTATATCAGCAGACAGACAGTAAATAGATAGATATCAGTAGACTGAGATAATTCAGTCTGCACCAAAGAATGAACTAGAAACATCACACTAGGTTCTAGTGTCCAGTCAAAATACCCACTACGGTCCTACAGGGGGTCGATCGCAAGCCTGAATAGCTCAATGGTAACGTCTCTGACTGAAGGCGGCAATGAATGGCGTGGGTTCGAATCTCAGACGGGATATGAGTTTTTCTTTCAAGGCAGTTGCAGATACGCCTTACTGACTGACTAGTGAGTGTCAACTAGCACGAAACCTAGGTTAGACAAGGCTTCCTGAGGCCGATTGTCTTCAACCACCGGATATCATTTTCTTTTGATCAGACTCTGGTTAGTAACTAGTGTGATGTGTCTCGTC